TACTCAGAAGGCAGTGGGTAACCCTGGGATGTCTCAAGAGGGTAGAGAGAGAGATCTTGCTCTGGAATGTTCTTTTTCATTTTAGTAGTCTTAGTTTAGTCTTAGGGAGTGGGAGAGGATGGCCCATCCCAAGAGTTAATTGGAAGTCTGAAAGGGTGATACCATAATCCAAGCCTCCTTTATCTCTTAGGGAAGTATGCAAATTAGCCATTGTGAGTTCGTGGTCTCCAGTAGTGGTTGTATAAGTGCATGGTACTTATTGAATGGATCAGTGAGTGGAGGAATGGATGGATGGATGGATATAGGTGGGTGGGTGAAAGGTAGGTCATTTCAGTGCAAGCTTGCTGGCCAATGGCACAACTGGGCACTTTTCTGGGCCACACGAGCCCATAAGAAGGAACAAGATGTAGTCCTCACCTTGGGCTGAGATGGACTCTGCTGCTTACCAGTAGGGTAAGCTCTGTCAGGCCAGGCTGCTTCAGACTTGAGTGAGGTATGGAGAAGGTCTGCAGAACCTGAAAGGCAGTTCTTGTTTAGCATTCCAGGCAGATGCTCCCCAAAGGACTGGGGCTGAGGAGGCACTGGAGGGCTGGAGAGCAGAGAGGCTGCAGGATGAGCTGGTGCCCACCCGAGGGCCTGCTCTGGACTAGGTGCCCTGCTTAGCGCCACCAGCAGTGTCTGGTCAGATGCTGGAGAGGTGCTGGGGCTCAAAGGGATTAAAAGTACCTGAGTGAAGGTCCAGGCACTGCCACACAGACTGTCCTCCTCTATGGTCCCCAGTCCTGGAGACCAGAGTCCTGTGGTTCCCACTAGCATGGGACTCTAGGGAGAGGAAATGCCCTGCCTTGAAAGTCCTTGAGATGCTGAAAGGAAGTAACACTTTTGAAGTTCCTTGAGTTGGGCCTGCCACACAACAGGTGCTCGTGTATATGTCAGACTCTGGCTGGATTTGAATCTGGGCCTTTCTGACTTTAAAGGTATGCTTTTTCTACTTTCTGTTCACTCAGTAATTTGGAAATCTTAAGGTGTTTTACTGGTTGAGATTCCAGAGCACACAGCATGAGGAACCTCTCTTTCCCCAAGGTCTGCAAGCTTTGGTTTTTCATACTGGGTTGAGGATGGCTACTCCCCCCTGGTTCCTTGGGAGTGCCCCAAAATATGCTGTGTACGCACAAGGAGGTGCTTGTGTGAGCCTTTTCTCCATGGCTCTCCGTACTTAGGGCCCTGCTTCTTCTTGGAGATCACTCCCTAAGCTTTTTGATGACAGCCTAGTGTTCTACCATGTGGAGTACCATGAGTAATTCCACCTACCCTTTCTTGATGGGCTTGGTTTATTAATTTTTGGTGACTACAAAGACCGCTCTGTGTGTCCACCACTGGCAGGCTGGGTTGGCTCAGAACCCAGGAGCTAGATGTACTCAGTGATACTTGCCAACCCTTGTGCTTCCTGACACTGGCTTTCAGATGGCGCTGTGTTGAAAGCTCTGGTTCTTCCTGCTGAGATTTCAGAATTGCTCCTTCCTCTTCCCAGAGCCGTGTCTGATGCTAGTTGGGGATTCTGTATGTCTAGGGAGGCACTGGCAGAGGCACCTGTCCCTGTCTCTTGGGTGGGCAGGAACCAGCCCCTCAGACCATACCTTGGCCCACATTGTAGCTCCCTGTCATCTTGGGGGAAGGTGCCTGCCCAGCTGTGCCACCAGCCCCTGCTCTTCCTGAAGTTGAAAGCGGGGTGGTTAGGAAGTCCTGTCCTAGGCCACAGGGGGCTGGGTGTAGGGGTGGCCATCACCTGTGCTTGCTGGTAATACAAGCTCAGCTTGGTGGTTTTTTCCTGACCTCATCTGTAAATGGCCACTGTGACCCCTGCCTGCTGAGAACATGAATGTATGCAATCTGCTCAGTTCTATACCTGCTAAGGGTCCTGGTTGATGGGAGGAATTATTAGGATTGCGCAGGTAGAGAGCCAAGTGAGGCTAGAAACGGTTCTGTTTTAGCTGGAGACAGTCCACCCTCCCCTGATCCTGGGAGACACACTGCTCGCTGACATCTGTGCCCTGGGCTCTGTTCATAGAGCTTGCGAACTGGTGCCCGGCCCCTTGCCCGGGCTGGAGATGGTTGTAGGAAGGATGTTTTTACCATCGCTTTGCAGGTGAGGAAACAGTTGTGGGGGTGGGGCCATTCCCTCCCCAGGTCTGGACAGCAGGACACTCAGCCCTGCCCTGTGACTCTTTTGCCTGAGGAGTGGGGTGGCCTCTGTACTTGGGTGGCTCAGGAGGAAGAATTGGCAAATCTCAGGGAAAGGAGTGCTGGGGACAAGAGGACCCTGCGGGTTCCTCCCCAGGGTTGGCAATGGGAGTTCGCACTGCCCCCTCTCCACGTGCACAGAGTACAGCTGACTTTGTTGTATGGTCTTTGACTTCCCTCTGTGTAGCTCCAGACCTTCCAGGCTCTCCTCCATCCCTTCCCTTTCCTTTTTCCAGCAGCCTGTGATTTGTGCTTTCCCCTTAGGACAGGAAGAGACGTGCCTGGCGACAGAGGGAGGGTTTAGCTCCCATCGGCTCTGTCTCAGGCCCAAGGGCACCACTGTGAACAATAGTAGAGTGGCAGCAGCCTGCCTGGCCAGGGCGCGTGCAGTCCACCTCTGGGGGTGGACTGAGAGGCTGTTGGCTGCTTTTCTGTACGCTGGAGCATAGCTGGGTTCATGGTTCACTCTGTCCTCAGTTTCTGTCTTCTGATCCTAGAGGATTGGGCAAGTGATCTTCCTTATAGTCAGTCCCTGCTTCCCTGTTTCATATGAACATTAAACTGTAATTTAAACCTTCAGCGGGGCTGGGCACAGTGGCACACACTTATGATCCCATCACTGGGAGGCAGAGACAGGAGGATCACAAGTTTAAGGCCAACCTGGGCTGCATAGGAAGATCTTGCCTCAGACCAAACCAACCAAACCAAACCAAACCAAAAACAAAGAACAACCTCCAAACCCCAGCTGGGACCTCTTTGCTTTAACTTACCTTTCTCCCCTAATTGTCAACCTTTCCATACTCGTGTCAACAAATGAAAGTAGAAAAACCTTGGGGTTAAGGGAACCTGTGGTATCAGTGAAGATAGATGAGGCGATTGTGTTCAACAGTGACCCATATCCTGGTGGCTTAAACCAGTAGTTACTTCACTTGTGTGAGAGACCAGTGGGGGCCTGGTCCATCTCACCCGCTCAGAGTGTGAGCATCTTCTCTCTGAGAGGTTGCTGGGCTGGTGCCAGGGAAGAAAGAGCCAGGGGCCCACACACCTGTCATTAAGGGCTCTGCTTGGGAAGTGACAGGGTCACTTTCTGCCACAGGTCACTGGCCAGGACTAGTCTTACTTAGCAGGGAGCCAGGAGGGGCAGCCATGCCTTGTGTCCAGGAAAGGGCTCCTGTCCTCACAGTCCTCCCAGTGCCCCAATCCTTATTTCCTCTCTGGTGTTTTCCACAGCAAATGCTGTTTTGCAAGACTGTATTACAGCGCACACACCCCTGTCTCCTCCGAGGGCTCTTGGCTTCGTCTTGGTGGCTCTTGTTAAGTCCCTGTGATGGCGGTGCTATTGCCGCAAGCCTGCTCTGTGTTCTGGGTCTTCTGTCTTGTCCATGTGGCCTTTGACTGCCCACCCTTGCCTTAGGCCAGCATCCTAGGAACAGGCTGTGTGTCAGGGGACATAGGTTTGCTTATCCTTTTTGTCTGTTCTTGAACCTGCTCTCCAGCCCTGGGCACAGCCAGGCCTTCCTCAGCTCCTGAGGACAGGGGTTCAGTCCTCTTCTTAAGGGGCCATGCTTGCTGGCTCGCTCTGAACTCTGAAATAAAGTTGGCTCACAAGACACCATCATCATCTGGCCATTGAATCACCTTGACCCTTCATGTTTTAGGTGTGAATAGTTGGCCAAGCTGTTCCTACTTTTTGTTACCCCATTAATTGGAAAGCAGCTGCTGAGAAACCGGGGAAGCAGTCAGGGAGGGTGTATAACAGTCTTCTTCCCTGGTCTGGGCTACTGTCCGTGGCCCAGCCTGCTGGTCTTGGTGGCTAGGCGCAGGTGCTCTGCTCCTTTAGGAGTGGAGTTGCATGTGCAGAAAACCTCCATCTCCTTCCTGAGCTTGCTTTGGAATAAAGTCCTGGAAAGAGGTCCCCTGGCACCCTGCACTCTGCAGAGACTGCTGTCTGTCCGTTTTTCCATGCAGTGCTCGGCCTAACCTCGCCTTCCTGAGATCTGTGTGTGCCTTCGAGGCTGTGAACTTAGGCGTGATGGTTCCATTCTGAATGCTTGGACCTTTGGAATGCAAAAGGCATATATCAGACCTCCTTATCGCTTTCTGTATGAGTGATTTGCTTTACCTATGGCTGAGGCAAAACTTGTGACATGGTGGTGTCTGTTTGAAGCCACAACTGAAAGCACTTCATTCCACATGGTGCATCAGGGAAGGAGGAGGCAAAGAGAAGCCCGAGGCACCTGGGATGCCTCCTGGTGTGGAGTAATGGTCTGGCTTTGGCAGGAAGAAGACCTGGGTTTTCCGCTCTGCTTCAGGTGTAGCTTTTTGGTTGTTCAAGAAAACTGGATTTCCTGGTACTGTAATTCCATGCCCTCAGGTATGTCACTCAATCCCTGGGACTCTGTTTCCTTATCTGTGCCCCATGGAGTCAGTGTTGTTAGCCTAGTGTGGAACCCAAAATAAGCACTTCACAAAGGCTGATTGTCATCCCCTCAGAACAGCAGGTTTTGGTGTGGCAGTGTGCACTAGGAGGCCTCTGCTGTCAGCCAGAGAAGCAATGAGGCTTTGCAGATTCATGTTCTGGCCTGTGTTGAACTGTCATTGGCTCAATACCAGGGAGGTTCCCTCATCAGTAGGAATATGAATAGCAAGGAGCGGGAAATACCACAGCTGACATTTACTGCGTGCGAGGTACTGGTAGTAATGTATGTGAAACGTTGAGACCTCCTGGCCTCTTTTAATTGCTCTGCCCCTCTCACCAGCTCTGCCTCAGACTCTCGTGAGGATCGCAGGAGTCCCTGCATGCCACAGGTTCGGAACAGAGCCTGGCACAGAGTAAGTACGGGAGAGCTGCGGGCCAGAGCTCTGCTGGTGAGGCTTCGTGCTTCAGAGATGAAGTCAAGGTTCTGAGAAGGAGCCAGCCCTGCAGGCGTCCTTGCACCTCGTTCTAGTTGCAGCTTTGCGAGCCTCAGTCATGGCAGCCTGTGCGGGCAGTTCCGGAAGCTGTAGGTTTTGTGCAGCAGCCCTGTACTTCCTTGATCCTGTGATACCACAGGCTTGGCGGTGAGGGACTCCAAAGCCCGAGGCGATGAGCAGCCGCAGCTGGGGGGTGCGAGGGGCTTCCTAGGTCCCATGAAAACAGTGACTGGAAACAATGAGTTAAGCAGGTGGCTGTGTATTTTGAAGTCCTGGTGCAGTGCTGGAGGGAGGTACCTGGGGAAACAGGTGACATGAGGGAGTCATAAATGTTTCCTGTTGGGGTGGGGTGAGTTGAGAAGTGTGAAAAAGGATTGAACTTTTGCTCTCAGAGTCAAACAGCCCTGTGAGGTGTAGGGAGGAGTCCCTGGTGTCCTCATTTCGTGAATGTGGAAACTTCTGTGGAGTGGTTAAGTGATCTTCCCCAGCCTAGACACAGCCGCAGGGCTGGGTGATTTCCGGGCCTGGCTTCCCCGCCCCTCTCTGGTTCCAGATGCAGGGAACAGTGTTGGCCAGGCTCACCTTGGATAATAGGCTGGGCATGATTGGGTTAATTATTTTGGAAGTCAAAGGTCACTCTTGGGCCACTGGAGTTTGCAGGCCTTTGTGTGCCTCCTCCCAGCACCCCTCTCCCACAAGCCTTGCTGCTTTGTGACTGAGGAAACACTGGCCCCTTGTTCTCTCCAAATTCTGAACCTTGCACGCTGCACAGAGCAGCGTCTAGCATTGGCCTCCCAGGATGGCGTGACTTGGAAACAGACTGCCCGCGGACCTCCTCTGGCCTCAGCAGGCAGCCCTTTCATCGAGACATCCTCACTCTTGCCGAGAGGGACGCAGCGGATCCCTTCTCCAGAAGAGAACAAGAAGTCCCTGGAAATGTTCTCTTTACTGGGGGGCAGAGTGTGGTCAGAAGGCAGAATGACAAACTTGAGTCAATTGCTTATGCCCAGGCCTCCACCTCCAGCCTGTCTGAAGCCCTCTGCAGTATCCCTTCTTCTGGTGGATCCTTCCCTTACAGAACTGGCTTGTGCACATCCTCTCTCCTTGGGGTCCCCTCCCCTGCAGCCAGACCCTCTCTCTGTCTGCTCACATGGAAGCCTGACCTTGCCAGCCAATGAGGAGACTAGGACTCCTGTGAAATGTTTTCAGGAGAACAGTCTTTCAGAGTGAGGTGTCACATCTGGTTACTTGGGAAAATGAGGTGCCTGAAGAGCCTTTAGAACCACAGTGATCCCATTTACAGCCTGCAAAGATGCTGCAGCAGAGGGGGCAGCCAGAGAGTGGCTGGGTCTGGTGCATGTCCCGAGTTGCTGTTCTCATGAAAGGGCTTTGCTGGCATAAAAATGCTTGGAAAATACACAGAGAAAAGTGGCTGGCTTCCAGATCTCTACTGTTTACCTTTAGCAGCATGGCCAGGAACGCAGAGAGCTTATTTTCCAAACAGCCTACGGTTGTTAGGTCTGCATGCCTTAGGCTGATGCCAGAGATTCCCTCTACCCACCTCCTTCCCAAATCCTCAGGGGACCTCCCGGCTCCGTCCCTGCTGATTTCTTCCTTCTCTTTTGTTTTTTTTTAGACAGGGTCTCACTATATATTTCAGACTGGCTTTGAACTCACTGTGTAGCTCAGGCTGGCCTCAAACTTAGTGATCTTCCTGTCTCAGCTTCCTGAATGCTGAGTTTTAACAGGTGTGTGTTATCATGCCTCTCAGGCTGATTTATGTCTCTGGTGCTGCAGGGAGACCTGGGGAATTGTCTTTGGAGATGTGGGGGACAGGTGTGGCCGTGCCAGCCTTGTGGTTTTTTGCCCCCATCACTGTATTTGTAACTGCTTTGGTCTGAGAACACTGGCATCCATGGCACTTAAGAGTCCCCTCTTCTCTCTATTTCTTTCCTCTGGCTTTTCTACCTTGCCTTCGGAGTCTGCTGTTTTTTGTGTGTGGGGGGGAGAGGGTTTGGAGCTGAATGTACTGTAATATAGAGTCTGCAAATTGAGCCAGAAAAGCCCTGGAAGTTTTTTCTTTCTACTCGAGGGAAAACCGAAGCCAATGGAATGGCAAACCCAGGTCAGCGGCAGCTCGGCTGGAGCTGATGCAGAGACTCCGCTGCCTGCTGCCTGCTGCCTGACTCTCCCTGTTGCTTGGTTTGGTTGGTTGTTCCCCATCCTGGGTCCTGCTGTCCCAGTCTGGAAGGGAGAGGGCTCTCTCCGGCGCCTGGGCTTGCTGTGAGGGTGAACATGTGTCAGGTCTCAGGAAGACACTGGGACCCCACTTCTGTCCTCATCGGGGACCCCAGGAGGCACGGTAGTGCCTCAGCCATCTGGGTCTTGCTGTTGTTTTGATTTGTACACAGCCTCGTCACCATGGGGAGAGAAGTGTATTCTTCAGTCTCCTTGTGAGGTCTCTGGGTTTATTTTTTTCTCCTTAAATAAGGGAGATCCCTGAACGTTTTCCCTGGCAAACAACAACAACAAAAAAAGAGGATTTAAGAAGATTAGCAGGGAAGAACTGGTGTGTTCTGAAAAGGGTTAAAACAAGCTCTTAGGTGCGCCTGGATATGGGCAAGGCCTCAGGAGCTCGGGAGAAACAGAGTAACCCGCAGGGTGGACCAGCAGTGGAGAGCTGTCACCACCCCGAGGCCTGGGGACAAAAGGACCGAAAGTGTAACTGGAGCCACGGAGATAACTGTCTTGGGAGAGGGGCTGTGGCCGCTGACAGAAATACAACAGGTGGCAGGCCGGGCATCACAAGAAGTGTGAAGACGGGTGAACACCCGGCTGCTCCCTTCTTCCCATCTTCTGCCGTTGTCCTAGCTCAGTCAATGCCAGGCCTCCCAGGGTACCAAGTGGGCTCCAGGCCAGAGAAGGGACCTGGGTGGGTGGGCAGACTGGATGCCAAGCCCTGTGTTAGGTCTTGTTTGCTTCCTAGCGCCTCCGCTGCCTCTTACTGAGGACCTGGGTAGGTGTCCAGTCACTCTTCTCCACTCTTCTCATTGTAAAATCGTTTCTCACAGTGGTGGGAAATAAAACAACACGAGCACATGTAGGCTCTGAGCACCATGCCTGCTCCCAGCAATCATTTGTAGCAGTCGTTTGATGTCTTTGCTGACAATGGAGAGAAAGCCTTGAATCCTGAGGGAGGTGCACTTGGGCAGGGTTGAGGTAGGGCAGGGCTTGTGGCCTTTTCTGGCCCCCGCTGAGGCCATGTGGGGGGTCAGCCAGGTGCCGCGCTGGCGCCACGGCCTCCATGGGACATGCCTCGCAGGTGGTAGTGGCTGTGTGCTGGCGGCAGACATCTGGCCGTTCAGGAAGCATGGTGTCAGGCTGCCCTGGCTGTTGGCAGGTGTTCCTGGCTTGGGATCAGGTGATGCCGACTGTCAGCCAGCAGCTCTGGCTCCCTTGGGGCCTGATCTCCCCAATCCCAGGATCTTGAAAAAATAAACATACACCCCCATGGAGCGGCATGAGCAGCACTACCCCGTTGCAGGCAGTCCTGTTCTCTGCAGCTCTTTGTGAGTCCACAGCCCAGCCCAGTGGAGGTCTGGCTGGTTTGCTAGGACCACAGCTTTGCTGAGACTTGTCGTGCTTTTAAAGAGTATTCACTCAGATTCAGGGTCAGGTTAGACTCTGTGACTTCAGACCTTTTGCTTAACATCTCTGGGCCCAGTTTCCCTAGGTTGTTGGGCAGATGAGATGCATTCAATAAATGCTTTTCTGTGTAACCGTTTTATAGCATTGCTTGCTTATATGTTTTCTGCTCCTGGGTGGCATGGGGTATGGGGGCCAGAAGTGCCAATGTGGGCCCTGCCATTGAGGAGTTAGGGACAGAGACAAGCTGTCAGTCCTGCCTACATTTTGCACAAGGGCAGTGAAGGGATTCAGTTTTGCACTTGGAGCAGGGGGACCCCGGACCTTTGAACTATCCTGCCCTGGTAGAGGCTGGTGTGCTGGCCCCTCCTAATGTACTACAGGGGTGTGGGGGTCCTTGGGGGCTCAGGCTAGTCTGTAGAAGGGGCAGATGGTAAGGTGATTGCCCGCGTTTTGTTCCTGCCTTGCAGCTGAATCTCAGCCGACCAATTGAGGAGCAGGGGCCCCTGGATGTCATTATCCACAAGCTGACCGATGTCATCCTCGAAGCTGACCAGAATGACAGCCAGTCCCTGGAGCTGGTGCACAGGTTCCAGGTGAGTGAAGGTGGCTGCTGGCTGTGGGACCTGCAGGAGGCAGAGGGAGGCCTGGGAATTGCCGGGAGCTACAGGCAGAGCTGTAGCTGCTGTGTTAGTGTGCCATCTGCAGACGTGGCTCTGCCACTGGCAAGACGTGGCTTCCTGGCAAGCGCTTCTCTGCAAGTGAGGCCTTAGACTCAGAGGATGGACACCCGGGGCGTGTGACACCCCTGCTACCCAGCTCATATGGGTGTGGTCAGATCCCTGTGAGTACAGATGTGGCCACCACATCCTCAGCACTGGGATGCTCAGCCTTGACTAGTGGCTCTGACTTGGCCTTTCTGCTGTGCTTGGAGCAAGGGGCCACGAGGGCCTTGAGTTAAGTTGTGCCTTGGTGGAGAGCCCTCCCTATCTGTCTGTTGCCTTGGCCTTGTGGGCGCCTTGCTGAGCATTGCCTGAGGTATTGTATTGAGACCCCTCACCCATTTCCTCAGCAGCTTCCCAGTCCTGACCCCAAGATGACTCACTGGCCCCCTTAGGGTTTTCATGTTGAGCAGCCGCTATCACCGCCACTGCCACTGCCACTGGCCTGCCCTGTGTGTGTGTGCTCTTGTGCACAGATGTGATTTTTCTGGGAATCAGTTCAGGGTCACGAAAGATGAAGTCATATTATCAGCAAAAAATGTAACTGGAATAGTGGCTGTTCCCCAGGCCTTCCTGGCGGGACAGGGGTGCCTGTGCTAGCACTTCTGTATGATAACTGGGGACTTGGCATTCATTTCTCTCCATCAGGACAAAGGGGCTCTTGTCGCACAGTAGCTGTGCTGCTGACAGTGCTCTTCTTTCCCACGTAGTCAGAGCCACAGGCCTCAGCCTCCCTCACCTCCCAGTGGCTCTCGCCTGCTTCCTCGGCCAGCTCTTTGCCACGGAATCCTGCTAGGAGTGGTCCTGGACCAGTTGCAATTGCTCCGGGCCTGTGGTGCACTGATGATGGCGGGGCTGGAGTGGGGTGGGGAGGTGTCCCCATGTCATGCATACCTTCTGCCAGCAGCCCAGAGTCCCCCCACTTGCTGGGTTGTATCTTCTCATGGAGCTGAGAGCATGGGAAAGGCATGGGCATGGTTCTCTGTGACTTTATGGAGCCTCAGCTTTCTTATTTGTAAAATGGGTGCTGGTCACAGGCAAATCTTCTGGCCTGTTGGGCAGAGCAGCTGAACGGTGATGTTGAATGTTACTACCATCCCCAGCCCCAGCAAGGCTCCCTGGAGATCCACATCACACTTGCTGAGGTCTGGCTATGCACTGGAAGTTCACCAGACCCTGGGGTTGGAGCATGAGCAAACGGGAGACACTTGTCTCATTGACTGACTGCTTACTGGGCGTCTGTCCCGTGGAGGGTCAGCCTGAGAAGCCCTCACTCAACCCTATGAACATTTAATCTCCACAGCCTACCTGAAGTCGCAGGGGTAGGACTTGCCTGCCTCATTTTATAACCAGGAAACTGAGGGTCAGGAGTATATGCAGGGTCTCCGCAGGAGCCTGGCAGGACCAGGATTCAGTCACTTTCTCAGGTGACCCACTGATCAATCCTGCAAAGTGGCTCTTCTGTCTTCTTGGACCCTAGCCCCTCACCATCATGGGTGCAGCCCCAGGTGGTACCACTAAAGCATCTCCTCATCTCCAGTCTGTCCACATTTGCTTCACCTCGCCTTCTCCAGGAGGCCTCCGAATGTCTGGTGTGTCTGGTGATACCCTCTGAGGACCTGCAGAGACCTTGGGGGCAGGGATTCTCATGGAATAAATGGAAGGATGGTAGCTTCGTGAGGACCCTGCTGAACTCTCTGGACAGGTTGGGCAGTGGGTAATGATAGCAATCATTATTATAACCGGAAACATTTGCGGAGCAGTCACGATGTGCCAAGCCCTGTTGTAAAGTACTTTATAAATATTAACTCATGCTTACTGAGCAGTAAGATTTCCTGATGCCCCCGTATGAATGAGTAAACAGGTGCAGGAAGGCTGGGTGCCTTGCTCAAGTCTCTGTAATTAGGAGGCAGTGAGGTGGGATATGAACCCGCAGTGGGTGAACCTCGATGTCCCCACCCAGCCTCGCCACTGGCACCTAGCCCCAGTGACAGTTTTGTCATTATTAAAATGAGATGCTGGTGGTAGTCAGGCCAGGGACATGCAATGCCTGGTGAGTACTCACAGCCCTTCCTGCTGCTGGGCTTCCACAGCTCCCTCTGTTAGAACTGTACTATCCTGGTGCCTTAGGGGTTACCGGGCAGCCATCTCTGCCTGGTGACCTTGGACATACTCAGAACCCCAGGTGATTCTGCTCAATATTGCAGGCTGTTCCCTGTGTTCCTGTTCTGGGCAGAAGAGAATGTTGAGGGTGTGCTTATCAGAGGGTACACGGGGACTATGACTCAGTGAAGACTGCCTGCCACTTGACACGTTTTCCAGGGAGGGCTTGGCTTAGTCTGTCCCATCCAGGTTACACACACATTTGTCCCCAGGCAGGAGTGTGACCTCATGATAACCTTCCAGCCCCTGTACTTCTGGGATGAATTTTCATTGCAGTTGGTATTTTAGTAAGAAGCCAGATACCTGATAAGGCCAGGAGGCTTCCTCCTTTGTGAACAGAACAATCCTTTGGGGAAAAGTGTGCCTGGCTATGCTTTCCAGAGGCTCCAGGGGGAGAGCAGACAAGCAGGGGCTGTTGTAGGGGGAGAAGGCTCCATGGTGAGGGCGTGGAAGGGCTTCCCTCTGCCACCAGGTATAGTGCTGTCTGTGCTGGCTGGTCATCTCCCTCTGCACAGACAGGAGAGGTGCAGGTGCAGAACCAGGCCACATGGACTTGGAGGCTGACATTTCACCTTGACTGTGCCCTTCATCTTCAGATTCATTTTTATCCTTGGGATATTAACAAGGAGGAATTAGTGTGGTTTGGGGACTGGGAAGGGACAGGGATGTCAGTCAGTGACATATCAATTTCAGAGGTGGGAAGCAGAGCCCAGGACTTGGGTTTGCAAAGCAGCCCTTCCTGCGTTTTGTTGTGAGCAGCAGAACAGTTCACATCCTCCGCCTCTGCACAAAGGCCCTTCCTGAGGCAGGGTTGAGGTTCTCGGGAAGTATCTGGAGACTGAATGCATGGGGAAAGGTAAATTTCTGAGCCATTCCTGAGAGCCCCAGAATGTTCCACAGTGGGATGTTTCCATAGACTTCTGGTCCCCAGGGGTGGGAGGAAGCCTGAGCTGAGCGGCCCTGCTTCCCTCTGGCTGCCCATGCGGGCAGGTGGCACGGTGTGGGACTCGGGCATGTTCCAGATCATTCGGACTAGTTGCCATAGAAGCCACCCCCCCATACTGTTGTTGTTTTGCTTTGCTCTGCTCTTTTCCTTTTGGATTAGCTTCACAGTGGCTTGACTTGGACAGTCATTGGCATGATTCAATTGTTTTGCTGCTCCAAGGTTCATTTGGAGCCAGCAGCTTGGTGCCACCCGGCTCTGCTTGAGATTTGGTTATCAGTGCGCAAATGTGGAAAAAGATCCCTGGGGGACGTTGCCCTTGGGGCTGCCAGGACCAAGGGGCTTCTTGGCCGCTTAAGCAGATTCTTCAGGGGAACAATGGGCACTTTCTCCTTGCTGTTGCTCCCAGGCCTTCTCAGGTGGGAGGGCAGACCCTCTTCTACTGTCTCTTCTGGCCCTAGACTTAGCCTATGGGGATCTTGATCCAGAGGGACTTTCCCTGAATGAATTTAGAGGAGGAGGAGGCTACATAGCCTCTTCTCTCATTTTGATCAGCTGATAGGGCATTAATTGTCCCTAGTGACCCTGGCCCACTCCCTCTGATCACATTCTCCAAGGACAGCTTCCTTCTCATGCTGAGCACCATCCGCCTAGGCTGCCTGCCAGGAGGGCAGACGAGGGCCACAGGAAATGGCCCTCCAAGCCCAGAACGAGAACGATGAGTTGGGGAAACCCAGCTCTTGTCATAGTATGGACTGACTGCTGCACACGTCCTACTGTTGTGAAACTGAATGCCAGGATTGTTAACGTGTCCCGTGGGCTCAGGTGACCTGGTGGCTACCTGTCTCCTCAGCCTTGTTCTGCCCCTCACCACACTGACCCTCCCAAAGCAGCTGCTCAGGCCTGCTGCTGCCCATCGCGTGAGCATTTTCTATGATCATCAGACACAGCATCTGTCCTTTGCTGTCAGCATTGCTCCTTTGGAAGGTCATAATTCCTTATCATCTCTTACTGTCTGCCCCTCTGTGTGTGTGCGTCTGTTCCCTGGTATTTCTAGGGTGCCTGTGTGCTTCTTGTAAGTGCATATAGAGTGCTACCTTGTGCTGGGTGAGCCTTATGTGAGGTAGCCGGTGGGCCAGGAGCAGGGTACCAGCCCTGGTGGGCAGCTGGGAGAGGGAGTGGGCATTTAGGGTTTACAAGACAGAAGGCACAGGGTCACGCTTGTGTGCAGGAGCCACTAGGAATGGTAGGAGGTATGGCGGGCTGGATCCTGGCGTGATTTCATGCCTGGCTATGGAGTTTGGACTTTCTCCTGCAGAGGGATTAGGGGACAGGATGGTAGCAATAAGAGCAAGTCTGATTGGCAGGGTGGCCCTGTGAGGGGGGATGGAAGTAGCCAGGGCAAGAGGAACTCTGAGCAGGCGGGGGCACCTTAGTCACCAAGGCAGGTGTTTCCTGGATGAAGAGGGAGCTCATGACTTGAGCTGCTGGACCCTCATATGACCTGCTGGGGCCCCTACTGGGCCCTCATATGAGCCTAGATCGCCTCAGCCTTAGGTGACCTATGGTCTTGAGCATCTCCTCCCTCAACCTTGACAAGGCAAAGCCCCACTCCTCTCTCAGTTCTTGGCATTCACTTGTGTAAAACAAGTGTGAGAAGGGTGTGCCTTCCTTGTCCCCAAAGAGGCAGAGAGGGCACACTGGACCGACCGCATTGGCTCTTTATCAATGACATTTAGTCATAGTCTAGTGGGCTGGTCACCCCAGC